ACCCAGCGGGCCCGCCTGGCCCAGGCCCAGGCTGTCTTCCCCAGTCACCGTCTCTGTCTCCCCAGGAATGCCAAGGTGAAAGGAAAGTTCAGAGAGTCCTACCTTTCCCCCGCCCAGTCTGTGAAACCCAAGATCAACACTGAGGAGAAGCTGCCCCGGGAGAAGCTCAACCCCCCCACACCCAGCATCTATGTACGTGTGCCGTCGGCCTCAGGCACACCCGGAAGAGGGTTCTAAGGCAGTGTCGGGGGCAGCTGGGGTCGGGGTGCTTGGAGCCTGGGACAAGGCTCTGACCCCAGCCTGTCTTGGTCACCTCAGCTGGAGAGCAAACGGGACGCCTTCTCGCCGGTGCTGCTGCAGTTCTGTACGGACCCCCGCAATCCCATCACCGTGATCCGGGGCCTGGCGGGCTCCCTGCGGCTCAGTGAGTGAGGGGTGCAGCGAGGGGCTGCGGCCCCCGGGGCAGGGGCCCTCGGAGCACTCCTCAGTTGCACTTAGGCCCTATCTGAGGAGTGCGGGATGGGTCAGCTGGCCTTGGGCCTCTGTGCCCTGTCTGTGGGGAGGTGGGTGGGGGGTGCGTCTCAATCTGGTGAGAGTCACCTCTGGGGAGAGTGCAGATGGTAGAACCTCCCAGAGACCCCTGGCTTGGCGCTTTCTCCTTTGCAACTTTTGGGAGGGGAGTAGGGTGCAGAATTTATATAGAAATATCACCTGTTGTTAGTCGTAGTTCCTTTATGTCTGCATCCTCACAGTCCCTCACTGAGTTGCATGCTTTTGCTTGACTGAATCCTTAGTTGGATCCAATGATAACTTTAAGAAGCTGCCAGGTTCTTGGTGCCAGGCACCAAGGTTGTGTCAGGTGCCGTGCACAGCTGAGGAGTCCGGCTAAAGGGTTGAGGCCCAGAGCCGCTGTGTGAGGAAAGGGGCTGGTGAGGCCCCAGGTAGAGGCCAGCGCTCCCTATCTGCGGGGGCCTGGGGTCCTTAGCCCATCACTCCCGGGCTGAGCTTTGCTAAGTCTGCGTCCACCCTGTCGGGGGCCATGGGAGTTCGGGAGGAGGGGTCCCGTCACCGTTTTGTGTCTGCCCCAACACCCTGCCTGGCCCTGCCTTGCAGACCTGGGCCTCTTCTCCACCAAGACGCTGGTGGAGGCGAGCGGCGAGCACGCGGTGGAGGTGCGCACCCAGGTGCAGCAGCCGTCGGACGAGAACTGGGATCTGACCGGCACCCGGCAGATCTGGCCCTGCGAGAGCTCCCGCTCCCACACCACCATCGCCAAGTATGCACAGTACCAGGCCTCCTCCTTCCAGGAGTCGCTGCAGGTGAGGGGAGCAGTGCGCGCTGGGCTCGGGGGTTTCTGTTGGGAGGGCCCCCAGAGAGCCACTGACCGGCCCGCCCACCCCTCTGCCGGGCAGGAAGAGAAGGAGAGTGAGGACGAGGAGTCGGAGGAGCCCGACAGCACCACAGGAACCCCTCCGAGGTACGGCTGCCCCGCACCCCTTCCCCTCGTGACTGGCCCTCCCCTCTGCTCCCCACCAACCTGTGCTCTTCACCCCGCAGTAGCGCCCCCGATCCCAAGAACCATCATATCATCAAATTTGGCACCAACATCGATCTGTCGGATGCCAAGCGGTTAGTGGCGCTTTCGACCAGCGAAGCCGGGGCAGGGGGGCAGGGGTGCGGCCGGGCGGGCCGAGGCCGGGCTCGCCTCTCATCTTTGCCGCACCCTGGTCCCGGCAGGTGGAAGCCCCAGCTGCAGGAGCTGCTGAAGCTGCCCGCCTTCATGCGGGTAACATCCACGGGCAACATGCTGAGCCACGTGGGCCACACCATCCTGGGCATGAACACCGTGCAGCTGTACATGAAGGTCCCCGGCAGCCGGACGCCAGGTGCGTGGGGGCGGGCCCGGGGTCGCGCGCAGGCAGGGGCTGGCGCGGTTCTCATCTGCCAGCCCACAGCGGGAAGGGTGGGGTGTCGCAGGGCGCAGGCTCCGAGCGCGCCGGGTATCCTGTCCTCTGTTGCCCCCTCCAGGTCACCAGGAGAACAACAACTTCTGCTCCGTCAACATCAACATCGGCCCCGGCGACTGTGAGTGGTTCGCGGTGCACGAGCACTACTGGGAGACCATCAGCGCCTTCTGCGACCGGTGCGCGCCGTCCCCCTGCTGGTGACCCCACTGTGTCCCGTCCCTGGGTCCCCAGGCTTCCCTCTTGAACCTCTGGCCGCCTTGCAGGCACGGCGTGGACTACTTGACAGGTTCCTGGTGGCCAATTCTGGATGACCTCTACGCGTCCAATATCCCCGTGTACCGCTTCGTGCAGCGCCCTGGGGACCTCGTGTGGATTAACGCGGGGACTGTGCACTGGGTGCAGGCCACGGGCTGGTGCAACAACATTGCCTGGAACGTGGGGCCCCTCACCGGTGAGAGGGTGGGGCCCGTGGGGAGAGGGCCCCGCTGGGGGGTGAGCCCCGCGGGCGGGCTGGGAGGGAAGAGGCGTGGGCTCCAGCGGCCGGGCACTGCACTGCTCATCCCTTCTGGCCCTCAGCCTATCAGTACCAGCTGGCCCTGGAACGATACGAGTGGAATGAGGTGAAGAACGTCAAGTCCATCGTGCCCATGATCCACGTGTCCTGGAATGTGGCGCGCACTGTCAAAATCAGCGACCCCGACCTGTTCAAGATGATCAAGTGAGGGTGCTGCCCCTCCGGGCGGGAGCCCACCCCCACCCCACCTGCCCCCCTGCTCTCCAGCCACGTCCGTGGGGGTGCCGTGGGGGGCCCCTGGCCTGCGTCGCGTCCTCCTTGCCGTAACGCCGCCTCGCCGCCCTGCAGGTTCTGCCTCCTGCAGTCCATGAAGCACTGTCAGGTGCAGCGGGAGAGCCTGGTGCGGGCCGGGAAGAAAATCGCGTACCAGGGCCGGGTCAAGGACGAGCCCGCCTACTACTGCAACGAGTGCGACGTGAGTGGGCCCGCCCGCGCCGTCCGGCCCGCCCCCGCCCCGGCCCCGCCCGGCGTGACCGCCCCCGCCTCCCCGCCCGCCGCAGGTGGAGGTGTTCAACATCCTGTTCGTGACGAGTGAGAACGGCAGTCGCAACACGTACCTGGTGCACTGCGAGGGCTGCGCGCGGTGGCGCAGCGCGGGCCTGCAGGGCGTGGTGGTGCTGGAGCAATACCGCACCGAGGAGCTGGCGCAGGCCTACGACGCCTTCACGCTGGTGAGGGGCCGGCGGGGTCTGTGTGCGTGTGTGTGTGTGTGTGTGTGAGTGTGCGCGCGCGGCGGGTCGCGGGGCGGGGGTCTGTGTGTGCATGTGGGCGTGCCGCGGAGCCGGCGGGACGCGGGTCTGTGTGCGTGTGCATGTGCGCGCCTTGGAGCCGGCGGAGTGCGGGTCTGTGTGCGTATGCATGTGGGCGCGCCGCGGAGCCGGCGGGACGCGGGTCTGTGTGCGTGTGGGCGCGCCACGGAGCCGTCGGGGCGCGGGTCTGTGTGTGTGTGTGTGTGGGCGCGCCGCCGCAGCCCCACCTGCCCCTGACCCCCGCCTTGTCCCCCCGCAGGCCCCCGCCGGCACGTCGCGATGAGGCCGACACCCGCCCGCCCGCCCGCGCGGGGCGCCGCGGGGCCACCAGCACACGCCTGGGCTGGACCTGGGTCCCGCCTCTGGCCGGGAAGGGGGTCGGGCCCAGCCCCTCTACCTTATTGGCAGCTCCCCTCACTTAATTTATTAAGAAAAAAATTTTTTTAACAAATATGAGGAAAAAAAGGAAAAAAAAAAAAGGGAGACGGGGAGGGGGCTGGCAGCCCCTCGCCCAGCAGCGCCTCCCCTCACCGACTTTGGCCTTTCTAGCAACAGACACAAGGACCAGGCTCCGGCGGCGGCGGGGGTCGCATACGGGTTCCTGGGCCCGCCCGCCGCCGGCGCCCGGCCAGGTGCACGCGGCCGTATGTACATAGACGTCACGGCAGCCGAGGTTCCCGGGGCCCCGCGGGGCTCCCCTCCCCCGGAACCTCCTCTGTTACCCCCAATGCTCGCTGTGACCCCTGTACATGTCTCTTGTTTATTCACTTGGTTATGATTTGTACTTTTTTTGTTCTTTTTTTTTTTGATTTTTTAATTTATAACAGTCCCACTCACCTCTATTTATTCATTTTTGGGAAAAACCCGACTTCCCGCATCCCCAAGCCATCCCGCCCGCCCCTCCAGGGACCGCCCGGCACCCCAGCGCGTGCCCCGGCCCGGCCCGGCCGGGTTCTCATGGTGCTCAGACCCGCTCCCCTCCCCTGCGTCCTGCACTTTCTCGGACCAGTCCCCCACCCGCCCCTGCCCCTGCCCCGCCTGAGGGTGAGCGACTCCTGTACTGTAGGGGAAGAAGTGGGAACTGAAATGGTATTTTGTAAAAAAAAGAAAAAAGAAAAAAGAAAAGAAAAAAAGAAAAATAAATAAATAAAAAAAATTTAAAGTTTTAAAGAAAGAACTATGAGGAAGAGGAACCCTGCCCTCCGCAGCCCGGCCCTTCGCCCCAGCCCTTTTAGTGTGAAACAGCCCAGGGCCAGGGACACCCCGGGGTGACGCTCTGGGGCTGGCTTCTCCTTTTGTTGTTGTTGTGTTTTTTTTTTTTTTTTCTTTTTCCTCCATGCTGGGCTGCGGAGGGGTGGGGGGTTTACAGTCCCGCCCCCTCGCACTGCACTGTCTCTCTGCCCCAGGGGCAGAGGGGTCTTCCCAACCCTACCCCAACTTCGGTGATTTTTGTGTGAGAATATTAATATTAAAAATAAAAGGAAAAAAAAACACCCAAAGCCCTGTTTTGATAACGTGACAGCGGGGCGAGCTCCGGGCGGAGGGCCGCCTGGCCGTGATGGATGGGGACGCGCTGCGCAGACCCCGGCGCGGCGCCTGTGGAATGTCCAGCGGAGGCTCCGCGCTGCTCCTCGGGCTGGGGGGTGCCTAATCCTAGAACCGCATTCCAGGATAAGGGGGGTGGGAAGAGGCCGGGCCGGGGGAGGGGCAGGAAAGAGGGCTATAAGGGCCGCGGCCCAGCGGGCGGGAACCAGGCGGGCCATGGCGGATGTCCCCGGGGCGCAGCGAGCGGGGCCCGGCGGTGGCCCGGAGCCCCGCGACCCCCTGGACTGCTGGGCCTGCGCGGTCCTGGTGACGGCCCAGAATCTCCTGGTGGCTGCTTTCAACCTGCTCCTGTTGGCGCTGGTGCTGGGGACCATCTTGCTACCCGCTGTCACCATGCTGGGCTTCGGCTTCCTCTGCCACTCCCAGGTGAGCACGAGCCCCGGGGCGCGCGTGAGTGCGGGTGTTTAGTGTGCGGTGATGCTGTCTGCTGTCGGGGTGTGTGTTGGGGGTGGTGTCTCTGCGGGTCGCAGGTTCTGCCTGCCTGGGCTGCTCCCACCGTGTGCACGGCGTGGCCAGGGGCAGCGTGGGCCTGACGCCACTTCTCCTCCCACAGTTCCTGCGTTCCCAGGCACCCCCTTGCACCGCACACCTGCGGGACCCGGGCTTCACGGCCCTGCTGGTCACCGGATTCCTGCTCCTCGTGCCGCTGCTCGTGCTTGCCCTGGCCAGCTACCGCCGCCTCTGCCTGCGCCTCCGCCTGGCGGATTGCCTCGTGCCCTACAGCCGAGCCCTCTATCGGCGCCGGCGCGCCTCACAGCCCCGGCAGCCCCGGGCCTCGTCGGGGTCCCAGGCCGGTCCCACACCCGGGAAGGTTTGGGTCTGAGGACCCTCCACTGGAGAGCAGTCCCGGCGTCTGCGCTCCCTCCCTCTCAGCCCAAGGACCCGAAGCCCCCGGGATCTTCTGTCCTGCCCCGCCCCCACCCCGGCCTGAGCCTGGTCCTAGCCCCGCTTGGCGAAGAGCAGTCCCCTGGACCCGATGCTGGTGAAATGCTCGCATCCCAGAACACCCGCTTGCCTCCTGCTACGCACATCCGAATTCTGAACGTCTGGGCTGGACCCTGCACCGCCTCCCCCCGCCCCAGCTCCTCTCGCTGACCACGAACAGGAGGAGCAAATCTTGTTAGTCCCCTCCTTTTCTGGTGCAGCTCCTCTAGCACTGGCCGAGCGGAGGGGAAGCAGTGACCACACATCAATAAAGCATTAATGAACTGAATGCGCTCTCTGAACAGAGGGGTGGCCCGAGGACTGTCACCCGGCCTCGTGCCCAGGAGCAGGAAATGAGTGGAGCGCCTGGGGCCGCACACACGCGGGCCCCCAGCATCCTTATCGCACCGGCGCCTTCTTCCGGGCCAGACCCCAGAGCTCCGGCCCTGACTCCAGTCACCTCCCCAGCAGCAGAACGGTGGGGGCTCGCTCCAGGCAGCCTGCCTTTCTCCCCTTGGGGACCCGAGCCCGTTCTCTGACCCCAGCTCAGAGGAACTCCGTGCTGCCAGGCCGGGCTGGGAAACAATGGGCTTTCCGGAGCAGGATGACGCCCCCTCCCTCCGCAGTCCTGGGAGAGCAGCGTGGGCGGGAAGATGCAGGGGCCCAACCCTGGGGCCTTGCTGGTTTACAGCTCGGTCCGCTCCCCACTCCCAGCCCTGAACTTGAGGGAAGCGTTGCCACTCTTAAGGGTGAGGGCTGACAGTGCTCGGGGCTCCGGACCTCAGGTAAACCCTCTCCTCCTGCCCTGGCGCCCCCGCTACACACAGACACGGGCCACTTCGGTCATGGGTTTAATGAAGTCTGCCAAGGCGTGCGCGACTGTGGTCAGAGATACGGAGGCCCCGCCAGGCTCTCCCTCTGCACCTCAATAGAAACGATGTGGTGTCCGGGTACCATGGCCAGGCCCAGCACACGGGGCTCCCCGGCAGAGAAGGAATCTGGAAAGAAGGGTGAGAGCATCAGGGAGGCAGGCCGGGGGCGGTCCCGCCCCTCCAGTGCCACGAAAACCAGGGGCAGGGGGCGCAGCCAGGCCCTGCAGGGGGGATGCCTTGGTGGAGCTTCCGCCGCATGGCGAGGCGGGCGTGCGTTTCCGGGCACTGACCCGACGGCTTGAGGAACTCCTGCGCAGAACCCAGGATGACATTGCAGTCGCGGTCCGTGCAAAGGAAGCAGCCGACCAGCGTCCGTCCGTCGGTCATGCGGATGCGCATAGTCTTGTTAAGCAGCGCCTCCAGCTGCTGCCGGGCGCGCGCAGCCGGCGAGTCCTCCCGCTCCCCGTCCGAGTCCTGGGCGGGGCGGGACGCGCGCTCACACCCCGCGGCCCCGGCTGCCCGCCCGCTCGCCTGCGGAACCACAGCTCCCGGCAGCCCGCGGGGCGCGCACGCGCAGCCCGGAGGCTGCCGGGAGCTGGAGTCCCCCCGCCCTCGTACCCCATCTTGCAGCCCGACAGCCCCTCGATCCCAGAACCCGAGCCCGCGCTAACCCCGGCGCTGGAGCTGCTCTGACGCCGACTGCAACAGCCGTTCTCCTCGCGTAGCAGCATGGTCGGCCCAGCTCCAGCCATTGGCCCCAGGGCCTCCTCTGGGCCCCTAAACTTCCCCGGAACCTTTCGGGTCCGGTGCTGTGAGATCTCGCGAGCGCTCTCGACCTTTTTCCTTTCGCGAGATCGCCTCTCCCCCGCCGAGTCTCCGCGGCACCTGCCGGGATCTCGCGAGCTTTCGCCCGCTTCGCCAGCGCCGCAGGCTCACAAGATATCGCGAGAGGTTTACCTCTAGCCAGCCTTTGGGAGCCACGTGACTTAGCGAGGCTGCCTTCTTTCGTGCTGGCCTTCCTCACTTTATGTTTCTGCCTCGGGAGACAGTTCGTCCTAAACATCTCGTGCAGCACAGGCCATTGAGTTTAGATGAAGTGTGTTCGCTTTCTCTCGGAACTAACTCGATTGCTCGATACAGTGACCGGGACGAGTTCAGACTACGTTTCCCAGGAGCGCACGCAGCCCAAGCCCCGCCTCGGCTACGGTGGGTAATCTCAGGCTACGGTGGCCGGGAGAGGACAATGGTTTCCATGTCAGCGGACAAACGCACTCAGCTTAGCTCCTGGACCAGCGGGAGCAGGCAGTAGTTTCTGCTGACGAGCGAGGAAGCCACAAAAGGGGCCGGCGACCAGTAGGGCGAGAGCCATGCCGCGCCGGGGCCTAGTGGCCGGGCCGGAGTTCGAGTATTTCAAGCGGCGCTTTTTCACACCCGCGGAGGTGGCCGAACATAACCAGCCCGAGGACCTCTGGGTGTCCTACCTAGGATACGTGTACGACCTCACGCCGTTGGCAGAGGAATACAAGGGTAAGGGCCCCGCGACGGGCCGGGGTGTGTGTGCTTTGCGCGAGAGGGGTGGTGTCCGGTTCTGGGGTGGCCGGCGCTGACGGCAGCTGCCCCTTCCCAGGGGACCTGCTGTTGAAACCCATCGTGGAAGCTGCGGGCCAGGACATCAGCCACTGGTTTGATCCCAAGACCAAAGACGTGAGCTGTGCTGGACCTCGGGGCTGGGAGGAGGGGCACCGGAGAGCTGGGGTGGGGAGGAAAAGTGGGGGGTCCCCCGAGCCTGCGCCGCTGACCCCCCCCCCCCGGCTTTGCTTTAAAGATCCGCAAGCACATAGATCCGTTGACGGGCTGCCTGAGGTACCGCACCCCGCGGGGCCGCTTTGTGCACGTTCCGCCTCAGCTGCCCCGCTCGGACTGGGCCAATGACTTCGGGAAGCCCTGGTGGCTGGGCTCACAATACGAGGTGGGACGGCTGTCTCCCAAAACCCGGAACATCCGCATCATTAACACGCTCACGTCGCAGGAGCACACGCTGGAGGTGAGAACTGGTGCCGGGGGACAGTTTGGAAGGAGCTGGGGATCCCGCAGACGTTCAGGCTGCCCGTGCGCCAGAACAGCTGGGACTGTTTTCCCCCTTTACCCTGAGGTGGCTGGGGGAAGCAGGCTGCGTGGGCCCCAGGGCGGGGGCCTGTAGGGTGTCCGGCTTGTGAGGCTATGAGACGGCTTCCTTCTCGTGCCGGGACCGCATTCTCGCAGCCAGGGACGGTGGGTCTTGGAAACTCCTATACTGCTGATTTGGACGGCAGTCCAACGTTATTATTAGCCTACTCTGATGCAAGCAGGCAGGAAGTGAGGGGCTGCTGGCTTGGACCCTAAATTCAGGGCCACCTGTTAGAACTGTCTGCTGTCCAGACAGGTGGGCCTGTGCGCCCCCTCCTTGCATGCTTTCCTCCTGAGGCTGTGGTGCCAGGGCTGGGCTGCTTCCCTGTCTCTCCAGGTGGGGGCTCTGGAGTCAATGTGGGAAATCCTCCACCGCTACCTGCCCTATAACGTACATGCAGCCAGCTACACGTGGAAATACGAAGGGAAGAATCTGAACATGAATGATACCCTAGAGGAGAATGGGATCCGGGATGAGGAGGAGGAATTTGACTTTCTCAGCATGGATGGTTCGCTCCACATTCCTGCAATACTGCTCTACTTCAATGACGACCTCACAGAGCTGTAGGAAAGGAGATTATGCTCATGTGGACTCGACAGATCTCGAGTCTGACTTTTTCTGTGCTGAGGAAAAGAGGTGGGGAGCCAGGGCCTAGACCCCCTCACCCCTCTGTGGTCCCTGCTCTTCCGAAGTGTGAAGCTGCTCCCCAGCTCCACCACCAGGTGCTCTGAGGGAATCAGGGAGAATGCAGATGTTTAGGACAGACACAGGAAGGCACGGTGTCTTGGATCAGGGAGATCCAGGAGTCCGAGCTCAGGTAGGACGTTCTGATAGAAACAGAAAGAGGAGTGCCACACAGGGACGAGGGATGGAGGACAGCTGTGGCCATCATGGAGATGGGACAGCAGCAGAGATGGGATTTACAGACAGGGACAGAAATGGCCTAGCGACCACACAGAACTGGCTTCTCTCCCTTCTGAAGAGCATCCGGCTCGCTCAGACTAGATACTGTGCTGGGGACATTATATTCCCCAATATAACTACCCCCAAAAGTGGGCATCCTACTGCTATTTTATGCATAACTCTTCTGAAACCCAGAAAGACTTAATGTCATTATGGCATGTTAGTTAGGGAGCGTCAGAGCCGGAAAGCAAATCCAAGACTTCCCAACCCCAAGTCTGAGCTCTGTTCACTGTCAAGGGACCGTCTCCATGTCTGTCTTCACGCCAGCCTCAGAGCACTCTCTGGGACACTGGCTTGTTTAGGCTTCGTGCGCACTGGGGAGCAGTTACCGTCTCCGTAAGGGAGCTCCCCAGCGGCAAAGGCGAGGCAGTGAGGACGGCCAACTACTTCCTTGTTAGCCTCAGCAAAGCGCCTCTCCTGAATTTCTCTGGGCAGAGGTGGGTACTCACGGACTCAAAAGAAAGCTGCAGTGGGGGAGAGCCTGTGCACTGGGACGCTTCGGTGAGCAGCTTCTCTGACGAAGGGCCCTGCACTTAGGCGAGGGAGACGGGGTTGACTGTGAAATGCTGACTCCCAAAAGGAGGGGCTAAGTCAGGCAGAAAGCTCTCCTGGTGGCTGAGAGAGAACCTCTACAGGGGCCACAGTCACATCTGGTTCCCTTTAACCCTGGCAGCAGCAGCAAGAACAGAAGTGCGGGTTCAAGTCCCAGCGCCGTAGTTCTGATAGAGCTTCCTGCTAATGCGCCTGGGAAGGCAGCCTAGGATGGCCCAAGTAATTTTCCCAGTTACCACCACCGCTTGTGTAAACTGCTGTACAGAGTTCCTACTTGTCCTTGCATTTCCACTTCTGCCCTTCACGCCCTGTGGTCAGTGAGCTCTTGCTTCCCCGCTTCCTGTTGTGTTTGCAATAAAGTTCTAAATCCAAAGGCCCTGCACCACTTGTCTCGCAGCACCCCTGTGGGTCCGCTGTGCCCGCACACCGGGCCTCACCAAGCGTCGTCCTGCCTCACGGCCAAAGGTGGTCGCTGCTCGCCACACTCTCCTGCTTCCCACCTGGCAGGTCCTAAATCTTTCTTCTCAGACCTTTTTTGTCGCTGTTCATTTCTCGGTGTAGGTCAAGACTGTTAGATCTCCCCTGCGCACCATGCGTTTTTCAGGGTTCTTGCTCCACTGTCAAGTGCTGTCAGTGGTTGGCTGACTGCTAGGTAAGCTTGCTGCGCAGAGAGCTGGCCCACCTTGCTCACTGCTGTGTTCCCACTGCTGGCTACACAGTTGCTGCTCAATAAACTGATGGAATGCAGTGTTCAGTATAATAACGGCTGGGTGGGTTGCTGTGTCCTGGGAGGCAGTGTGGGACCAAGGGCTAGGACTGCTGGCTCGTGTGCTGTAGTCTTTACCCACAGGTTTCTCTCCGCTTCCCGCAGATCTAAGAACAAAAGTTACTCCATAGAGGTTTTTTCTGTCCAGATTTTTCTGGGCCACTCCCTCTGTCATTTCCCCATATGGCCACCAGATGGCTGTAAATGCCTACAGAGTCAGGGAGAGGGCCCTTTAAACCCCGCCAAGTTCCCAAGAAGTCAGTACTGAGGGGGCCCTTTCAGATTGAAACAGGGGAGGGAAAGATCAGAAGGCAAAACCACAGGGCCACCATTCTGTTACATCAGGTCTATTCCTGCTGTGAATACATGCCAGGGAAGAGTGCGTATGGGAAGTGACTTGTGGGATGGTGGCAGGGTCTTGCCTACAGGTGTGTGTGGTGCGGGGCAAGGGGCACAGCTGAGGGAGCTGAAAGGCAGCTGAGTGCAGTCGTGTGTTGTGTGCAAAGCTCGACCAGACACTGTCTTGTTCTCTCAGTATCTGCACGAGGAGTCTAAGTAACGCCTCAACCTAAGACCTAGAAAGTAAACAGAACACGAGCCGAGGGCCCACGTCCTCCTGCAGTGACCTCTCGTTGTGGAAGCAGAGCTGCCTGCCCTCAGTAAGCCACAGCAGCCTCAGAGGACTCAAGTGGCAAATATTTCCCACGAGCCATGGCCCCTGCACGCACCCGTCACTGGGGAGTAATGAGGAGGCACTGGTTCCTTGCGGGAAGCCTGCCTACTCGTTGGGATCATAAAGCATACACACGAGACAAGTGAAAAGGTAGAGGAGGAAGGATCAAATTAGGGTACAGAATGTTTCCTCCCTCGTGGCAAGTCACAGGTGGATTTGTAACCTGGACATCGTGAAAATGTTTCTGAATTCTACATGTGTGTGTGCAGGTATTTATTATTCTTGAGAAAGACGCTATAATTTCCATCAGCTTCTCAAAATAATATCTGTCCTGAAGTAACAGCTATCCTGAAATAGCACACACACACACATCTTTAAAGACCCTAAAATGTAAAATACCAACAGTGATATACAAAGTGGTCCCAGGATTCTTCGCACCTGTCTCAGTAGCCTGTCTCCACCTGTGTTACATTCGCCACATTTCTATGGCAAAAATTCCTGAAGCTTTTAAAGCTGAATTCCTGACTAGATTCAAGGGTTTTCTTACTGTCTCCGACTTGGCTGCACTTCGGAGCTGAGTGAGGGGACACATCATCTGGACTTGGGACTGGAGCACTCAGCGATGACATCAGGGTCAGGTGAACGCACCCGGCCTCAGAGCTGAGTCTGGGGAGACTACGTAGGTATGTTCATGTCAGAACAGTCACTGTGACGGGTCAGCAAAAACACTTGGCTTTGTTGTAAAAAAGCACACATATTTAGAAACCTGGATGATCTGTATCTTAGAAGTCAAATGTTAGACATTCAAAATACAGACAAATAGGCAGCCTAAGTACTGGGTATTCTAGCCACATGGGAAGCATTTTTGAAAACGTGAATAAGTCGGTGAAGTGAGACCATTAAAAGTGGGGATGGGGATGAGGAAAGAAGCTGAGGTGACGAACAAGCTGGTACGGAGACTGCTAGCACTGGTCTCCTCCTTACCCGGAGCCGCTCAACTACTGTCCTTGGGGAGCTTACTGTGTAGTGGGGACTCAGACATCTCGCCTCAGCCATCTGAAGAAGTCACCTCTGTACCCCAGCAGCCACACAGGGCCTGCCACAGAGCAGCAACAAACGCTTCCTTCAGGAGGGAATGGTGTAAGTAGCCCCCACTTTCTGACTCTGGAACTCAAGAGCCAGAGGTGGGGTCCCTTGCTATCTGATCACTGTCAGTCTTTGAACAGAACTGGAGAGAGTGATATTTCTGGTGAGAAATTCTTCCAAGTCTCCTAAAATACTGAGGAAGATGAATTACATAAGTTTTCCCCGAGAGCTCAACCTCGAGGGACAAATACTACTCCACCATAGTGTATGGGTTGAGACTATACTTGGCCATTTGTAGCAGAAGCCTAACCCTACAAGGTGTTAATTTTATTCACATAATAAGAGGTATGGAGCTAGTGCAATAGTGAATCTGCTAGGTCATCAGTGTACCAGGTTTCTCCCGTCTCCTCATTGTTGTCCTCATGGTTACCAACTTTTTGGCTGCAGGAATGTAGGCAGGAATGAAGAAAAGATGACAGAAGAAAAGGCAGTGCCTATAAAAAGAAGGCAGACATTTTTCTAGATTTTTGACTATATCTCATTGAAATGAAACACATAATATGATGACCCTTAGCCGCAAGGGAGTCTGGGATAGTGAATATTTTATACTGACATCCAAAATGCAGGTCTCTTACTAGGCAAGGCCAGAATGGATACTGGGTGGGAACTAGTGACATTTTAGACAAGCAGTGTTAAAAATGCCACTCATCCACTTATTAACGAAGATATTAAGCTCTTTGTCCCAGAGGCACTGTTCTAGGGATTGGGGATCTATCAGTGAATGAGACAGAAAAGGTCTCTGACTTCCAGGGGCTTACACTAGGGCAGGATAAATAATAAACAAGGAGAGAAGATCATTTCAGATAGTTATGCTAAATACCTACAGTTCTGTGTCCGAGAACCTTTCGGTCAACAACAGATCTGCATGCACGACTGTGGTCCCCTAAGATTACACACCTATGACACTGTGGCCATCCGGGCTCGTGTAGTGCACTCTATGCTGTTCTCACAATGATGGAGTCGCCTAATGATACATTTCTCAGGATGTGTCCCCATCATTAGGACCATAAGGCTGAGGTCAGTGAGCGTGCACACACACACTCATACACTAAAGATCTGCAAAGACAATCATGAGAGAGTGCTGGCGGGATGGTCAGGCTTGTCTCTGATGATCACAGTGATCTGTATTACCTGCACAGCTGCATTTACTGCATTAAATCACTTAATCTTCTCAACGCATAACACAATGGTGGACTCGGGATACAATAATGAGACACAATTTCTGCCCTCAAACAGCTTACAGTTTAGTTGGAGATTCAGAGAAGTTTGTCAGCATCTTACCATGAATCCATTTTTACACAGCAGCCAAGGAGAGCTTTCAAAGTTCCACCTTTGGGGCCGGCGCCGTGGCTCATTTGGTTAATCCTCCGCCTGTGGCGCCGGCATCCCTTATGGGCACCGGGTTCTAGTCCCGGTTGCTCCTCTTCCAGTCCAGCTCTCTGCTGTGGCCTGGGAAGGCAGTGGAAGATGGCCCAAGTGCTTGGGCCCCTGCGCCTGTGTGGGAGACCAGGAGGAAGCACCTGGCTCCTGGCTTCGGATCTGCGCAGCGCCAGCCGTGGCGGCCATTTGGGGAGTGAACCAACGGAAGGATGACCTTTCTCTGTCCCTCTCTCACTGTCTATAACTCTACCTGTCAAAAAAAAAAGTTCCACCTTTAATGTCTTCAAAGACTTTGTACTTCTTAAGACGAAGTAGGAAACTCTTCCCAAGATCCAGGGTCCTGCGTGATCTGGCTCTCAGGCGCTCTCTCTCATGTTGGCCCCTCAGTTTCTCAGGCCCCCAGCCCGACTCTGTCAGAGCCTTCTTGCTAACTGTCCCACCCTCCACGCTTCATTTGGCCAACTCCTGCTCCTGGAAGTTGCTCAAATGTCACCTCCTTGGGGAAGTCTTTTCTGCCCCCTCCAATTATGTCAAGTCTTGTCACATCCACTGTGAAATGCCATAATTATATTTAGTAAATTTACTGCTTAATATCCATCTTTTTAAGCTCTGAGCTCTATGAGGACAGGGGCCACCATTTTCCTTACCAATAAATGCTCAGCACCCAGCCCAGAACAGCTGCTCAGTAAGTCCCTATGGGCGGAGGAATACAACGTGGCCGAGTTCGAATGCCTCAGGAACACACATCAGAAGAACCTATCTCGGTCAGAGGGAACTCGAGGCGGCTTTCTGGGGAGCCGTGAAGGACAAGGAGAAGTCAGCCAAGTGAAGAGGATGGAGAGGGTGAGAGTGGAGGAGAGAATAAGCGGCTCATGCTAACCTCAGACAAGTGGAGAACTAAGGAGGACGAGCAGCGTGGATGGTGAGGCTGGGAGGGGCCGGGGTGAGGGGAGCAGGGCAACAGAGATGCAGAAGCGAGACCCGGCCCTTGGAGGCTTTGTAAACTAGGTCAAGCTATCATTTTATTTTTTAAACTAAGAAATAATTCATATACCATAAAGATGCATCCTTTTCAAGTGTACAACTCAGGGTTAAGGATTCATAGGGAGGGCATGATCAAGTGAAGATCTTAAAGAGGTGACGCCTGACTGAGGTGTCAAGGAACTGCAACGGAGAGATCACGTGCAGACAAAGACCAGTGACACCACTGCGGCAGTCTGGGGGAAATGCAGGCAGGCGGGACCGGGTTAGTGGCACTGGAGAGCAGAGAAGATGGACCGAAGTTGCTCAGTCATTGACTGGGAAGGGGTCTGCAGGACAGGGTGGGGTCAAGGTGACTGGGAGGCTGGGGAGTCCGCTGGTGGGAAGGGGCTGCTGGGAGAGGACTCTGCTGCTCACGTGAGGTGCTGGGGGCGTGCAGGTACACATGTCCAGACAGTGCTGGATGCAGGGCACTCGGTCCTGAGGAAGGCGCTGGGCTGCAGCCTGAGCTGCGGGAATCGCTGGCAGACGGTGACTGGAGCCAGCGTCCCGGGGAGGTCACCCGCGAGATGTGATCCAGGCACAGGGCTTGGCAGGAACAGCACCCACAGGAGGGGGGTGGTTCCAGAGGAGGAGCTGGGGGCTGGCGCTGTGGGGTAGTAGGTTGGGCCTCTGCCTGCCGCGCCAGCATCCCATACGGGCACCGGTTCAAGTCCCGGCTGCTTGGCTTCCATTCCAGCTCTCTGCTCTGGCCTGGGAAAGCAGTGGAAGATGGCCCAAGTGCTTGGGCCCTGCACCCTCATGGGAGACCTGGACGAGGCTCCTAGCTCCTGTGGCCTAGCTTCGGCCATTGAGGCCATTTGGGGAGTGAACCAGCAGATGGAAGATATCTCTCTGTCTCTGTCTCTCCCTAGCTCGGTCTGTAACTCTGCCTCTCAAATCAATCAATCAATCTTTGGGTGGGGGGGGAAGAGCTATAGAGGCATGACAGCCCCAGCAGAACAGTGCCACGGAAGCCAAAGGAAGAGAGAGAAGGGAGTGGTGCCACTGTGAAGGGTCACACAGCGGTGAAGTAAGACTGGACTTGGTGTCCATGGATCCAGCAAACAGGAGGCAGCCGCGGCTTTCTTAGAAGTCAGGCTGCAGCTGGACAGGTATGCATGGATATTCTTAGGAAAGAGTCCGGGCAGAAGGAAGGGTGTTCTGGCTTTGATACATGCACAGACAGAATACTTACCTTCCTTTGGATTTCATTTGTCAGCCATAAGTAGGGGTAATAGAAGGTGATGGGTAGGACAGCAGGCATCATGCAGGACCAGTCACCCAGACAGAAGCCTCTCACACTGTTGCTGACAACATTGCACGAGAAGGTCTGGGAAATGCCGAGCCCTGTATAGGGTCCTTAGAAAGGTATTCAACAATTTTCGTTTACTTTCCTGTTTCTTGCACTAGCCACTCCTTATTTAGTAAGAAATGCTTCCCTCGGGATCTCCAGGGATGTGGCATTACTCAGCATTCAGGTAACATCTGTCATGATTAGAAAATTCACAGACCGTATCTGTGACTAATACTCAGTTCCCAACCCAGTAGTGTTTGTACCTCAACGAGGAGTTATCTGAGTCGAGTAAAATGTGGTTTCCTATCACGTCAGAGCTGAGTTACTATGAAGTGAGGCAAAGTAAGAAAGTGGGGCCAGCTACTGGGAACGAGAGGAACTGGAGCCAGCCCTCTGCGCCTTCAGTTTAAGGTGCAATTCCTAACTCGGGTCAGGAATACTCTCACCTGGCAACCATCTTAAGTGAATCTCTTGGAAGTAATTAATGGCTAATAGTAAACAGATTGTTTAGAGGGACAGCTTCCAGTTAGCAAGTGTCTTCTTTTTAAACATTATTTATTTATTAAAAAGGTGAGAGGAAGAGAGAGAGAAGAGGAAGACGGAGGGGAGGGGAGAGAGACAGACTCTTCCATCCACTTCCCAAATGCCTGCAATGGGAGGGACTGAACAATGGTAGAGCCAGGAACTCACTAGGTCTCCCATGTGGGTGGCAGGAACCTAGTCACTTGAGGCATCACTGCTGCTCCCAGAATGTGCATGAGCAGGAGGCCGGAACCAGGAGCCAGAAGCCAGGTACTGATCCAGGCACTGCGGTATAGGATATCTGCTACACCAAACACCTTCCCCAGAACGCCGCCTTATAGCCAGTGCTTTACATAAGTTAGGTCACTTAATCCTCACCACAACCCTGTGAGGTGGACATTAATATCCCTGGCTTATGGATGAGGGAGCTGACCCCTGAGAATCAAAAGTCAGTATGTTGGGGCAGACACTGGGGCGTGGCAGGTTAAACTGCTGCTTGGAATGCCCATCGTGTACTGGAGTGCAGGTTTAAGTCCCAGCTCCTCTGCTTCTGATTCAGCTTCCTACTAACACACTCAGGAAGGTAACAGGTGATGGCCCAAACATCTGGGTCCCTGCTACCCACGTGGGAGGCCTGCGTAGAGTTTCTGGCTCCTGGCCAGCCTGGTCCAGCTCTAGCTGTTGGAAGGCATTTGGGGAGCGAACCAAAGGATGGAGGATCTCTGTCTCTCCCTCTGTCACCCTACCTTTCAAATAAAAATAAATCTTAAAACAATCAACCAAACAAAAAAACCAGGGACACCACTGTGGCATAGTAGGTAAAGCTGTTGCCTACAGTGTGGGCATCCCATATGGGCACTGGTTCAAGTCCCGGTTGCTCCACTTCCAATCCAGCTCCCTGCTATGGTCTGGGAAAGCAGTACAAGATGGCTCAAGTGCTTGGGCCCCTGCACCCTTGTGGGAGTCCCAGAAGAAGCTCCTGGCTCTTGGCTTGGGATTGGCCCAGCTCCAGCAGTTGCAGCCATTTGGGGAATGAACCAGCGGATGGAAAATCTCTCTCTCTGTCTCTGCCTTTCTGTAACTCTGCCTTTCAAATAAATAAATAAATCTTAAAAAAAAAAAAAAAGCCCAAAAGAACAGTAAGTGGCTGACCTTGGAGTCCAGGTGTTACCTCTGATTTAAACTTCCTCTAATGGAGAGAGAGGGCAACTTCAATATTGTCTCTGAAATACATTTTAGGAATTATACAATTTTGGAATATAGCATCTTTTAAAAATTAGTTGATTTTAATTTCCTCATTATGGCTAATTTAGTTTGAAATGAAAAAGATTCTCCTGTGCTGAGAGCTGGAGGGTGAAAGGGCCTGAGAGCAAGAGGAGGGGAAGCAGGAAGTCCGCCTGGGCAGTGAAGCCGCTGGCCAGGCGATTCTGCTGGGACAGCAGGGGCTTTGCCCGCAGCACAGGAGGCACTGCGACCTCTGCAGCGCTTCAAATTTTGGATTTTTTTTTATTCTGGAATATTTGCATATACAAAATATTATATCTTGGGGATGAGACCTAAGTCCAACCTGAAATTCATGTTTCATTTACACCTTATACATAACAGCTTGAAGGGAATTTTATACAATATTTTTAGTGCACTTGAGTTCTGACTGCAAACTATCTCGTGTGTAAGCTGTGGAATTTTCCACTCGTGCTATCCTATCAATATTAAACAAGTTTCAGATTTCGAAGCATTTTAGATTTTGGATTTTCAGATTAGGGATGTTCAACCTGTATTAAGAAATTGCAAATGGGAGAAGAAAGGTGTTTGGTTCTGCCATGTTGTATGCAGCTATCCAGTGTTCATCAAAATTGTCATTCAAGGCAGATCAAACTAGCAGGGGGCCAGCGCTGTGGCACAGCAGCTGGTTCAAGTCCCAGCTGCTCCGCTTCCAATCCAGCTCCCTGCTGATGTGTCTGGGAAACTAGTGGAGGATGGCTCAAGTGCTTTGGCCCCTGCACCTACGGTGGGAGACCTGGAGGAAGCCCCTGGCCCCTGGCTTCGGATCATCTCAGCTCTGGCCACTGCGGCCATCTGGGGAGTGAATCAGTGGATGGAAGACGTCTCTCTCTGTCTCTACTTCTCCCTGTAACTCTGTCTTTCAAATAAATAAATCTTAAAAAAAAAAAAAAAAAAAGAAAAAGTTAAAAAAAATAGTAGAAGGCAAAGACAAAAATTTGGGGCTTAAATCTTCCTCTTCTTATTAATGTACCCCTTATTTGATGGAAAGGGGCCAGTACACCACAACACCAGCTCCTATGGCAAACTTTTGTATGCATCTGAAACTGTGGAAAATTAAGGAGTTACAAGTGGGAAGGGAACTAATGTCAAAGGAAAGACAGTGGCCGGCGCCGTGGCTCAATAGGCTAATCCTCCACCTTGCAGCGCCGGCACACCGGGTTCTAGTCCCGGTTGGGGCGCCGGATTCTGTCCCGGTTGCCCCTCTTCCAGGCCAGCTCTCTGCTATGGCCAGGGAGTGCAGTGGAGGATGGCCCAGGTGCTTGGGCCCTGCACCCCATGGGAGACCAGGATAAGCACCTGGATCCTGGCTCCTGCCATCGGATCAGCGCGGTGCGCCGGCTGCAGCGGCGGCCATTGGAGGGTGAACCAACGGCAAAGGAAGACCTTTCTCTCTCTGTCTCTCTCTCTCACTGTCCACTCTGCCTGTCAAAAATAAAAAAAAAAAAGGAAAGACAGGAAATAATAAGCACAAGTTCAGGATACAGGGGATGGGACAGGAGAGTAAGGTGGAAGATATGACCACATGAGGCCACATGAGGTTTTAAAGACATTACTAATATCATATTGAATAAGCCACATTAATAAATGTTTATTTTAGTATTATGCTTTGTGGTTGATATAGGTTATATTCTTTTAAGCCATCAAACAGTTCTCAGTAATAGATAAAATTTTAAATTAAAAACCTCCATAAATAATATCTTAATGGTTTCTCACAATTTTTTTTTTCTCTGACAGGCAGAGTTAGACAGTGAGAGAGACAGAGAGAAAGGTCTTCCTTCCATTGGTTCACTCCCCAAATGGACGCTAATGGTGGCTCACTATGTGATCCGAAGCCAGGAGCCAGGTGCTTCTCCTGGTCTCCCATGGGGTGCAGGGCCCAAGCACTTGGGCCACCCTCCACTGCACTCCCGGGCCACAGCAGAGAGCTGGCCTGGAAGAGGGGCAACCGGGACAGAATCCGGCGCCCCAACCGGGACTAGAACCTGGTGTGCCGGCGCCGCAAGGTGGAGGATTAGCCTAGTGAGCCACGGCGCCGGCCACCATGTATTTAATTTTTTAACAAGGTTTTATTTTTCCCCAAAATTTAGTTTTTTATTTATTTGAGAGGCAGAGAAAGCAAGCCTCCCATTCACTCGGTCACTCCTCAGATGCTTAAAATGCGCAGGCCACAGTCAGGAGCTGTGAACTCAAGTAAGTCTCCCGTGCAGGAAGTCAGTCACAACTGCCTGCCTGGCAGGAGGCTGGAAGGAGGAGCTGGGGCTGGGGCTGTTCACACTGGACACAGGTGTCTTAACTACCTGCCCCAAATACTTCTGTTGTTGTTTATAAAGATTCACTTATTTATTTGAAAGAGTGTCAGAGAGAGGGAAAGAGATCTTCTATCTGCTGGTTCACTCCCCAGATAGCCACAACAGTCAATTCTGGGCCAGGCTGAAGCCAGGAGCCAGGAACCAGGAACTCCATCCTGGTCTGACACACGGATGCCAGGGGAGCAAGCAGGTACATGGGCCATTTCCTGCTGCCTTCCCAGGGGCATCAGTGGGGAGCTGTATCAGAAGTGGAACAGCCAGGACTTGAACTGGTGCTCTGGTAATGGGATGGCAGTGTTGCAATCCACAGCTCAACCTGCTATGCTACAATGCTGGCACGCACAGGCCCTGCCACCCTAAATCCTTTCTTACTTAGACTGCCTTTCTCCCTCCTCTACTATATAAATCCTGTTTATCTTTTGGGGCTAACTTTAAATACAACTACATATGGCAGCTCTCCACTGATGTTCCCCCTCCCCAAGATCTCTCTTCTCTGAATGCTTGGGTTTTATAATCATCATATTATTAACTTTTTTTTAAGATTTTACTTATTTATTTTGCAAAGTAGAGTTACAGACAGAAGAGAGGGAGAGATAGAATGAAAGGTCTTCCATCCACTGGTTCAATCCCCTCAAATGGCTGCAACGGCTAGAACTGGGCCCATCTGAAGCCAGGAGCTTCTTCCGGGTCTCCCACGCAGGTGCAGGGGCCCAAGCAGGCCACAGCAGAGAGCTGGATTGGAAGAGGAGCAGCCGGGACTTGAACCAGCACCCATATGGGATGCTGGTGCCACAGGCAGAAGCTTAGCTTACTATGCCACAGCGTCAGCCCCTATTAGGTAACTTTTCTGTGTGCTCAAGCCTGATCTCAGATACACCTCCCCTCCCTCCACCTGGTCTTCTGTTTCCCCTCTTGATCACTAAAAATTTTTATGCAGCTTTTAGAGATGCACGATGTAAAAATAAGTTCCTCTTCCCATTGGTAACTAGTAGTCTTTCTGGGTTCTCTCAAAACGTACCCTGTTTTTTTCCCGTAATATCAGGATATGCACTTGTGTACCTTGCCTTTTTCTCTTTGTTTCAGTCTTCACGGCGGAGCCTCCCTAGTGCTCCCAGCTCTACCACATCACATCCACTCACTTACTCGGCTGCCACGTTCTCCTGTCAAAGAGCTAGAGGTGGGTGAGGAAGGATTTCTTTAGAGAAATCGTACTACTTTGTACCCCCCTTGGCTCCCTTTGCTAATGTGATCAATGAGACTACTTAAATCTGTTTACACAAATAATAAATAAATACTTCATCACTGCAGATTCAAAGTGAACAATGAAACCAAATGCCCCCTAATGATTCCTTTGCCAAAGCATTCTTTCTTTTATTGGTTAGTATGTACACCTCAAGAATTTTTAAAGACATTTAGATACATATAAATTAATTTGTAAAAAGGCAGCATTGTTTTTAGTTTGTTTAAACATAAACTAAAATACCATAATGTGTACATTGTTTAGCAGCTTGCTTTCCATTCAACTATATGGTAAAGAATCTTACCATGTCTATACACGTGGATACAACCAATTTTTCTTATTTCTGTGTAGTTTATTTAGCTATTCCTTACTACTGCAGTTTTTTTTTTTTTTTTTTGGACAGGCAGCGTGGACAGTAAGAGAGAGAGACAGAGAGAAAGGTCTTCCTTTGCCATTGGTTCACCCTCCAATGGCCGCTGCACCGTGCTGATCCAATGGCAGGAGCCAGGTACTTATCCTGGTCTCCCATGGGGTGCAGGGCCCAAGCACTTGGGCCATCCTCCACTGCACTCCCGGGACACAGCTGAGAGAGCTGGCCTGGAAGAGGGGCAACCGGGACAGAATCCGGCGCCCCGACCGGGACTAGAACCCAGTGTGCCGGCGCCGCAAGGCGGAGGATTAGCCTTGTGAGCCACGGCTCCGGCACACTACTGCAGATTTATATATGTCTGAAACTTCCTCCTTCGTGAAATGAAGAGACAGTTAGATTAAAGGATAAATCCCAGACTTTTAGATTTCAACAGCCAATAAAATTTAAAAAGAAATGTTAATGATCAACATGGGATTGCTGATTTTTCACTCTGCTAATAAGGACATTAGAAAAACAATACCCAAACCTATACCTTCATCACTATTATTTCTTAAGATATTAAAAATGTTTTGTAATTACAAAAGAGATGGGGCTGGCGCTGTAGCATAGTGGGTCCTGCGACACCAGCATCCCATGTGGATACCAGTTCAAGTCCCAGCTGCTCCACTTCTGATCCAGCTCCTTGCTAATGCGCCTGGGAGAGCAGTGGAGGATGGCCCAAGTGCTTGAGCTCCTGCCACCGTGTGGGGGACCCAAAGGGAAGCACCCGGCTCATAGCTCCTGGCTTCAGATCAGCCCAGCTCTGGCTGTTGCAGTCATTTAGGAAGTGAAATAGTGATGGAGGAAATCTCTCTGTGTCACTCCTACTCTATCTGACTCACTCTCAAATAAATAAATCTTAAAAAAATTATAAAAGAGGTACATGTATGTATACTGAAGATTTTTCAAAGGAGTTTTCAAATATAGTAAGTATAAAAAGTAATTTTCTTGCTCTCTCTCTCAAATCTATTCATGAACAGATCTCTCTATACATGTCCATAAATGGACAAATATATTCCATACACATCTATCTGACTTTTAGAAAGGATATTGTTGCCGGCGCTGCGGCTCACTAGGCTAATCCTCCGCCTAGCGGCGCCGGCACACCGGGTTCTAGTCCCGGTCGGGGCGCCGGATTCTGTCCCGGTTGCCCCTCTTCCAGGCCAGCTCTCTGCTGTGGCCAGGGAGTGCAGAGGAGGATGGCCCAAGTGCTTGGGCCCTGCACCCCATGGGAGACCAGGAGAAGCACCTGGCTCCTGCCATCGGATCAGCGCGGTGCGCAGGCTGCAGCGCACCGGCCGCGGCGGCCATTGGAGGGTGAACCAATGGCAAAGGAAGACCTTTTTCTCTGTCTCTCTCTCACTGTCCACTCTGCCTGTCAAAAAAAAAAAAAAAAAAAGGATATTGTTAACATTATAAACATAGGAGTGTTTGTGTTATATATGCATTTAACAATACATATTAATATGTACTATATAATAATATAAAATGTAAGCATATACCCATAGTATGTAAATTATCTACTTATTCTATGTAAGAAATATATAACCTCAGGATAAAGGACAGACTTTTCCAGAAAGGAGAGGTGGCAACCTTAGCCATTTGGGAATCACTGATTTAGATGATCTCTAAAATTCTATGATGAAATCTAGAATATCCTCAGCATTTACATACCTTTCAAAAGACAACTAAGGGCCAGCACTGCGGCTCACTTGGCTAATCCTCCACCTGCGGCGCCGGCACCCGGGGTTCTAGTCCCGGTCGGGGCACCGGATTCTGTCCCGGTTGCTCCTCTTCCAGTCCAGCTCTCTGCTGTGGCCAGGGAGTGCAGTGGAGGATGGCCCAGGTGCTTGGGCCCCTGCACCCACATTTGATAAAACTGGATAAAGCTCCTGGCTCCTGGCTTCGGATTGGTGCAGTGCGCTGGCCGTGGCGGCCATTTAGGGGGTAAACCAACGGAAAGAAGACCTTTCTCTCTGTCTTTCTCTCTCACTAACTCTGCCTGTCAAAAAAAAAAAAAAAAAAAAAAAAAAAAAAGACAACTAGGAATCTCTTAACATCTCTCTGGAGAATCACAGATTGCAAAGTGTGTTTCTAGTCATCTGATCTGCTTGTTGCATTAGGACGTGTCTAGTTGTGTTACTCTCATTGGTCCCCAACACCAGAGTTTTAACCTGGAGTCAGAGTCTTTAGAATACTTATAACACCATGAAAAACAAACATGATATTTTGCATATATATATTTTATGGGGGAAATGTTTATAACTTTCTGTGATCCAAAAGAGGAACTATTACTTTAGGTAAGTTTCTTGCTTTTGCTTCAAATAAATCGTGTAATTATTGGCTTGGGAGTCCCCTGCAATGTTTTCTCTGGGTCTTTTTCTTGGCGAGGTGGGTCTACCTAATTTCTGATTTGCGTCTGACAGCAGTCTGAAGTTCCTTATCCCCCACCTTTGTGGCCTTCTCATTAGAAACAAAAATATTCTCTTTTACCAATTTTTTTTAATTTTTTTTTTTTTTTTTTTTGACAGGCAGAGTGGACAGTGAGAGAGAGAGACAGAGAGAAAGGTCTTCCTTTGCCGTTGGTTCACCCTCCAATGGCCGCCGTGGCCGGCGCGCTGCGGCCGGCGCACCGCGCTGATCCGGTGGCAGGAGCCAGGAGCCAGGTGCTTTTCCTGGTCTCCCATGGGGTGCAGGGCCCAAGCACCTGGGCCATCCTCCACTGCACTCCCTGGCCACAGCAGAGGGCTGGCCTGGAAGAGGGGCAACCGGGACAGAATCCGGCGCCCCAACCGGGACTAGAACCCGGTGTGCCGGCGCCGCTAAGCGGAGGATTAGCCTAGTGAGCCGCGGCGCCGGCCTAAAATTTTTTTGACAGGCAGAGTGGACAGTGAGAGAGAGAGAGACAGAGAAAGGTCTTCCTTTTGCTGTTGGTTCACCCTCCAATGGCCGCCGCGGCCGGCGCGCTGCGGCCAGCGCATTGCACTGATCAGGAGCCAGGAGCCAGGTGCTTCCTCCTGGTCTCCCATGGGGTGCAGGGCCCAAGGACTTGTGCCATCCTCCACTGCACTCCCAGGCCACAGCAGAGAGCTGGCCTGGAAGAGGGGCAAACTGGGACAGAATCCGGCGCCCCAACCGGGACTAGAACCCGGTGTGCCGGTGCTGCAAGGCAGAGGATTAGCCTATTGAGTCGCGGTGCCAGCCCAATTTTACCAATTAGTCATAAGGGATTTTCATCTTTTAATTTTTTGAAGAACAGAAAGAAGCAGAGAGTGATGCCCATGTTGAAACAGAAGCAGAAAGAGAAGCAGCTGGAGACACTGAGACACACAGGTGCAGATAAAAGGCCTCAGGACAGAACAGACAGGCAAAAGAAGTATAGAGAAACCTGAAAACACAGAAGGACAGACACAGAACTGAGCTAGAAGCAGCTTGCAGAAAAATAGACAGGCCAGCAGGGAGAAAAAGGAGAGTGACTGACAGAGAGGTAGGCAAGATCACGGACAGGAGTGCAGATAAGTGGACAGAAAGGAGAGAGAAGGAAGGAAACAATCGAGTAAGGAGGAAGACAAAGTGATCACAGTGTTGTATGTAACAGTGCTTTCTAATTTATAGAGTGCTATCACATCACAGTGCAGGCAGGCAGAGAGGATCCAGCAGACAGATGGGGTGATGGAGGGATACAGGCCAATCAGACAGGAGAGAGGGGCGGCGGCCAATCAGAACGAAGGCTAGAATGGAGACCAAGACAGGCCCAAGAAAAGAGAAGTGAGGGAGGGAAAGCCACAGACGTGAGGCTGACACAGTTACCTTCAGGAGTACAGGCAGCAGAAAAGCAGCAATGGAACAGTGCCTGGTGTAGAAGTTCTGTCATCACCTTTCTCAGAGACCTGGCTAGGGGCTCACTGCACCCTCCAAGGAGTTACAATGTCTCTACGGTGGCTCAGGAGAAGAGACAGAGGAAGGGCAGGAAGGGAGAAACGTTGCAATTAAGGAGCCAGACTTTTTAGACTAGAAGGACAAACTTCTTGGGCAGGCCTATGTCAACAGCCTAAAAGGATGGAGGTGCAGGTGCCTTTAAAGAATTCAAACAGACCAAGTGGGACACGCAGCCTGGGCTTGCGGCTCCTCTGTGTGAGCACAGGGCTGCGGGCAGCCTTTCCACACTCATTATCCATGCCTGTACCAACCTGGTGTCTCTCCTGCACTGCGGTGCTTTCAGGTCTTTTCTTAATTAATATTTCTGGGATGAAGAGACCAACAAGGGTGAGCTGTCATCAAGGCAGCTTACTATGCCGAGTAGAAAAGGAGATTAGGAGAGAGCAAGCCCTCCCGAAGCACTCTCGAGGTATGATAATAAAAGCATGCAACCAGCAAGCACTCGATCAACAGACAAGCGCCATAAAGGAGAATCAAAAAGACAAGAGGCGAGAGGTGGCAAACCCAGCGCAGTGAGGAAGTCGCACTGACAGGCTGACAGAAGAAGGAGCCTCCTGCAGACCTAGGAGAGAAGTAGGAAGCTCAGCGAAGCCCAGGCAGACTTGGATGTGTGTAGACTTCTCTGGAGCGGAATCCAAGAAAAGTAAAACTGCGGCTGTCTCTGGGGAGAGGGGCTGAGCATGGGGAGGAGGCTTAGGATCGGGCTTACTTTTCCCTGTATACTTTTTGTACGTTAAAAATTGTATACCATGGGTATCTACTACCAATTTAAAATGACTGGGGGCGGGAATGGGGACAAGAAAGAAAAGCAAACAGATGTGGACAGCAAGAGTCTGCCAAGCAGATAGACAGCAAAAAGGCAGGAAGACAGCGAGAGACTGGGGAGCAGCGGAAACACTGCACGGTGGCTTCCTCAGCCATCCCAGAGACAGAAGGAAAAGACGACAACCACAGGTGGAGGCGAGCGGCCGAGAGGGCAGGGCAGGGCGTGGCAGAAAGGCAGGGAAGCCTGTGGGGCGAAGGGGGTCACCTACGAGGTTTAGGGGAGAGCGAGGTCACCCCCAAAGAGGGGAAGTTGGCAGAGGGGAAGCAAAGGGGGGAAAATAGATCAATAGGGAAGACTGAAAAGAAAGAAACATTAAACCATGGGATGGATAGTCAGCAAGCAAGCGGGGGGCAGACAGGCAAGAAGACAGACCAAATGACAGCCAAGGAAAAATGATGAACGTGGGCATGAGTAAGAGGAGCAACAAGCAGAAGGGCAAAATAAGAGGCAAACCAAGATGAGGAGCCATCGCAGGGCCTGGAAGGTAGATAAACCGAGAGATGCAGGCTCAAGAAGTGATGGAGACAGGCAGGCAAGGAGACAGATGGCTGGAGAGAGAGTGGTGGGCAAACAGCCAGAGAAGCAGACAGACAACCAGGGAGAGGGAGAGGGAGAGGCCGCCAGCCAGTCAAGGCGGAGCAGGCAGACAGGCAGGCGGGCAGAACCGAGGGGTCAGCATGGAGAAAGGGGGGAGCAGGCAGGAGAGATGTCAGACAGGTAGAGGGAGAGACAGACAAGGAGAGGGAGAATCCAGCAAGTAAGTAAACCCACAGGCAAAGCACATTCAAGAGAGAAAACAATGAAGGTTTGTAAGGGACGCACGCAGCCCCCTTTGGCTGCCCACACCTGCAGATCACAGCATGGGTGGCAGGCAGGGAGGGCACAGAGGCTGCACAATGTGGAGACTCTTTTCCCAGACACAGTGTGATCCACAGATACACAGAGAGGGGGCCAGGAAGAGGGAGAGTCGGGCGCACACGAGGAAGAGCCACACGCAGCCAGAGACCGGAAGACAGAAGTAAACAGCAGACAGAGAGGGAACGTCACTTGGAGGTGATAAAGTCTGAGAATCAAAGGGATGAAAAAAGTCTCAGTGAGAAACAGACACACACACACACACACACACACACACGCACACACGCCCCTCTGGAGAGGAGGGGGAGACTCAGATGGACTAGTGCAGACTGCCAAAAAGAACAGGAGAGCGAAGTCGAATGGGAGAGGAAGAGGAGTCGGACTCAGCTCAGGAATGACACAGGAGCAGAGGCGAGAGCACCCGAAGGCCAGGTTACAAAATATAAAGACGAAAACTGAGCCAGTGAGTGCATCAGCAGAACACCACTAGAGAACGTTTTAGCCAATATACAACGGTCAGCGTGGCCCCCTTTGTCACAGACACCTTCTGACCGCGGCCCACCTGCCCCTCCCTCGTAGGGTGCTGTGGAGCCCTGCGGGAGCTGGGTGGCTGGCACCTCCACTGGACACGGAGAGGAACGACCCAGACAGAAACAACTCCCTCGGCTGGCTTGGGATGGGAAGCGACAGAAGGGGCAAAGCGAGACCAGAAGAACGCAAGGGCAGGGAGAGTGAGGGAAGGGGGACAGGAAGGAAAAAGGGGAGGACGGAGGGCCCGGCCCTCCCTTCTTTGCTCCATGGGCAAGGTCTATGTTATGTCTGGTCCTCTCTGGACTCTTTTCCAGCAACTTCTGCACTCTTTTCCAGCTGTCCATGTGCTCCCTGGTACCACTTTAAGATAAACACTCGGGTGGTCAGGAAGTTCGACTGTGTGTGACCCCTACCTCTTTCTTTCTCTCAGTCTCAGTCACTTTTCTCTTCCACCGTACCTGCTGCTTCTACTTTATCAGTGTTGGAGATCATGCAGGAAGGGAATCGCTGAAATGGGAGAGAACAGAAAACCATTTCACAATCTTCAGACTTGACTCTTTCCCCTTTATTGTAAAAATTCGTTCCATTTTCCCCAAATTAATTTCTCAAGTCAGATGAATTTTACAACTGAGCAATGGGGGGAGGGAAAGGCGAGGAAAAGGGGGAAACAGTGACGATAAAATTTACAACAATTACAAATCACCGAAAAGGCTGGGCAAAGGGGAGAATCAAACATGGACTCCTTTGAAAAAACTCAATCATCGTATCTATTCATATCTCTCCCCCAAAAGTCACTGGGATTTTTGTCACTTTTTTTTAAAGAAAGAAGAAAAAAATCCTGTACCACTTCTAATTTAAAAGATACGTACACAATTAAATGCGTTTTGACTTCAATGAGGTATGTAGAAACAGAGTTATATGTAAACATATATTTCATCTTTTTCCTTTTCAATGCCTGAAGGGGAAAAAAAAACCCTTCACATCAAACCACTCCCTTCTGAAGTATTCAAAAAAAAAAAAAAAAGCTTTTCTTTAGAGAGGGGAGGTGGGGAGGAAGAGACTAGTAAAGAAAAGAAAAAAATTAAATCTAGTTGTACTAGTATCTAACTAGTTAACCTTTAACAATTTATGCTGATGTCAGACTGAGCATGAGTACTGATTAATGCCCCCCCTCAAATATTTTTTATAAGGGGGGGAGTCAGTCACAGCAGCCATTTTTGTTTTATGCAGAAATCCTTCATGCCCCCCCAACACACACACACACACACACACACACTTCAGTACACAAGGAAAATATCTCTATTAATCTGTTCACTAATCAGTTATGAAAAAAGGGGGAAATTTGTGGGTTTCTGGGTAGAAGCTTGGAGATGGGGGTACAACAGAGAGGAGAATGGGGGGGTGAAACATGAAATATTAAGCCAGCCATTTTGTTTAAAAGGGGATTTTCCCCCCTCTCTTTCTTTATGGAGGGGGTGGCGGTGCTGGAGGGGGGGTTGTTTTAAAAATAATTTCAAGGCGGCCATCTTAGTGCCTCAGCTCTGTGAAATATTTCTGAGCGCCCCCCTCAGAATTTAAATATATTTAAAGCAACGGAGAGGGGGGTAGAGAAAAGTCGAAAACCTTTTTTCTATCTCCTCTGACTATACCCCACACATATACGCCCCCCCAATTTTATTATTCCCCTTTCTTGTTCTCTTGGGAGGAAAGAAAGAGGGTTAAAAGTCTCTCAATTTTTTCCAAGAAAATTTTAAGGGGTGGTTTGGCCCCCCTCCTCAGACGGCCGCCCCGAGGGTGGGGGTTTTGGAGGGGGGTGGCCCGGGGGTTTGGGGGGCTGGGGGAGGCGGTGAGGAGGAGGAGGAGGACGCTGCCGCCGAGGAGGAGGAGGAGGAGGAGGAGGAGGAGGAGGAGGAGGAGGAGGTGGTGGTGGTAGCGGTGGGGGAGGCGGGCGGGCGGTGGGTGGGGGGGTGGTGGGGGGGCCAGAGCCACAGGATGGCTTCCCCTCTGAGGGACGAGGAGGAGGAGGAGGAGGAGATGGTGGTGTCGGAGGAGGAAGAAGAAGAGGAAGAAGAGGGCGACGAGGAGGAGGAGGAGGTGGAGGCGGCCGACGAGGACGATGAGGAGGACGACGACGAGGGAGTACTCGGGCGCGGGCCGGGCCACGACCGGGGCCGCGACCGCCACAACCCCCCCGGCTGCCACCTCTTCCCGCCGCCGCCGCCGCCGCCGCCGCTGCCCCCGCCGCCGCCGCCGCCCCCGCCGCCAGGTAAGCGGCCGCCCCAACTCCCCCCCGCCCCCAGCCCGAGTGGGAGACGCGGGCGCGCGAAGCCGGGCGGGGGCGAGGCACCCACCGCGCGGCCGAGCCGAGGCGAATCCGGGGCGCGGGGCGCCGTCTCGGGCCCGGCGGCCCGCGGCGGTCCGGGCGGTCCGGGCGGGTGGCGGCGACGGCCGCCGGGCCAGGCCTCCTCCCCTCCCCCGCCGCACCCCTCCCCCGCCGCCGCCGCCGCCGCCGCCGCCACCGCCACCGCCGCCGCCGCCGCCCGGGCTGGAGAGCGCTGGGCGCGAGCTGCGCGCGCGGACCGGGCCACTCGGTCGCGGCTTTCGGGGGAGGAGGAGGAGGAGATTTTTTTTTTTTACTCTCGGCGGGGAGGGGGTAGGCAGGAAACGGCCGAGGCGAAGCCAGGGCCCCCTCCCTGGCCAAGCGAAGGACCGCGGAGACCCTGGTGGCCGGACGGCGGCGTGGGGGAGGGGCGCGTGGGGGAGGGGCGGCCGCGGGAGCTCCCCCTCGGGTCTCGGCCCCTGTGGGTTTGGACTGAGGGAGAGTGGGGTTTCCGTGTGTGGAGCAGACGGCTGCTCTGGCCCCTCTGGCCAGGATTGGGACAGGCAGGGCGGGGGACGGTGTCCTTTGGAACCCCACCTCCACCTGCGGGGACTTCTTCGGTGCCCGCCAACTCCAGGGCGTGCGGTGACACGCGGGGAGGGGTCGCGTGAATGTTTGCGGGCGGTTGAGGACTACTGCCACACTTCGGCGCAGACCACTTCCTGGAGTAAGACTTGAGCCGGCCCCTCCAACCCCGGGATAGGGAGAGCAGAGTCCCTTAAGATAGGGAGCGAGAGGAGAGTGTCTGGGGACCGAGGGTGCCCCCAGCTCCACCCACTTCTGCTCTGCTCTGGGCTCTTTTGTGTCAAGTGCAGGGGAGTTCCCCCCCATGACCCCGTCTGTCTGGGGTGGCCGAACTGCCCAGCTGTGACGCTCACGTGGCTGCCATTCACTGTCACTCACTCCGCTCAAACCACCTACACGCTGACCACGCTGGGGGTGGGGGTGGGGAACTGCCCACCCAGCTGTGCTGCAGCTTGACCATCACTGGCACCCCTCCCCGGGGTGACAAGTCACCGGGCACCCTGCAGGGGTGGAGAGGACAGACCGCTGCTGTGCAGTAAGCACCTAGCAGTGACCGGACAGGGACCACCCTGCCTGGGGAGTGACTTCCAGGCTTTAGGCTAGCTGAGCATCTCGGTGGCCGGGGCCGCTTAGGGAATGAGATGGGACAGCCCAGCCCCAGGCCTCCGGCAGCCACGCAGCACAAATGCACCAAACTTCATGATCTTTGTAAAGCTGTCATATTGATTGGTGTGGCTTAGGTGGCAAGTGTTCCTGTGTGATTGAGACAACTTTTGAGGGAGTGTGAGGTGCTTTGCCCCGCGGGGCCCCGTGGGGGAGAAAGTAAAGTGTTTCTGAGGGAAATTGGATAGAGACCCCCGTCCGGGAGGCTGGTCTGAAGAGGGGAAAGTTTTGCAAAAAGTTATCCCAGAGAGCCCGCTGCTTCCGCGCTGAGAACGGGAATAAAGAAAGTGGGGAGAGGGCTGCCTGCAGCAGGGGTGCTAAAAAGGGGGCGAGAAAGCAGGGCAGGTCCCGTTAGGCGGTTGGCAGCTCTCACCTATCTGTATCCCCGACTCGGAATCTGGGGTATTTTCGTATTTTCAGCCCTCGATCCGCATGCGTGAGGGGGAGAAGCGTGAAGGAACCCGAGGTTGAGCTGGGTCTTTGTGTCAGTCCTCCCTCCCCTTCCCCTCTTTGGTTTCTGAATAGACGAACAACCGGCAGACGCTTCAAAAATTTCATATCTGAAATGAAACCCCCTCGCCTCGGGTGCCCGGGGCGATTTCCTCTCCTTTTCCGCCCTCCCAAGTCAAACGAATGACCCAGATAGACCCCCTCCAATGACTTTCTGAGGTAAAACTTTGGGGAAATATTTTTAGCTTGCTCAATTATTTCTGTCTGCCTTAGTGCGGGGAAAATAAGCCTCCTCTAAGGAAATTCGTTCTGGCTGCCCCCCCCCCATCCCTCTCTAGAACCTGAATTCGTACAGAGCTGAGGTTTCCATTGTTTTTCATTCCTACTGCCTTGATTCTCACCATTTTGTTTTACATTCTTACCCAAGACCAATTTTATCCCTTCCCCCTCTCTCCAGTCTCCTTACATTGTTAAACGTTTAAAATAATAGCACTCGTGTTGGTGGGGGAAGGGAGCAGGAAGCCCAAAACTCATTTCTTCTCCCTCCCCCTTCTGGCAAGTCTAGAGAAATAATATAACATAATATATAGACGTGATTCCTTGGGGGTGTGGGGGTGGGGAATGATTGTGGGTGGTGCGGAAAATTCTGGTAGTTTCTTTGCAAAAGGTCTGAAAATACAAACCCACCCCCTACAAGCAGTACGCATGTGCAGCAGACCTATTATGGTGGTTCGTTGTGGGGGAGGGAGGGGAATTTGAGAAAAAATAAATATATGTGTGAGAGATTGATGGTGAGATTAGGAGAGAGGGGCGGGCGAGAGGCGAGGCTTCGGCCGAGACTCCTCCCGCTTCCTCGGCCGCCAGGCTCCGCCTCCGTTCCGCGCCCGCCCTCCTCTCTCCCCGCCTTCCCGAGATCCGAGCCGGGATGTGGGAGAGTCTGGGCTCCAGGCCAGCATTGAGTGGCTGCTGAGACAGAGGTTGGGACTTAGATTTGCTTTATTACCCTCCCTTGCTCTCCTCGCCCTTCTTTGCGTCTCGCCGCCACCGACGTCTGCCCAAGTTCGGGAACCTCCTGCTGGGGTGACCAGTGGAGTTCACAGGCTGTGTTCCCCGCTCCCTCCCCCACCCCCAGGCTGGGGTGACCGAGGCCACTTCCCTGATCCTTAGCCAGTTGGCCTGCCTTTGCCACTGCCCCAGCAGCCCCTGTTAGTCCCAGGCCCTGGGGCTAGGGGGAGCGGCTCCCTGACATTCTACTACAGCCATTTTCACACGGGGGCTTTGGACAGGTGCACCTCCCCCCCCCCCCAACACACACAGAGAGAGTTCTCCCTGCACCAGAGGATGCAGGGTTCTGGAATTAGGAGGAAAGGTAGCACTGAAGGAAGGAGGTATGTCGGGATGCTGAGGCAATGGAAACTGCGGCCTCCCGTGTATTAATCGTGGCAGTGTTCCTTTGGCTGTGGAAGGAGGAAAGATTGTGTGTCCTAGAGCGAGGGGATGGGTCAGGCCCAGGCTTTCCCTTCCACATCAGCTGCTCTGCCCAAACAAGACAGGTCTGGCTGGTTAGTCTAGTGCTTAGTGGGGGCGGGAGGCAAACAGGTCCCATGTCAGTGTGGCGTCCAGTCTTAGTCCGCGCTGAGCAGTTGGCCCCCAAGCCTCTGCAGACTGGCAGGGGTCACGGAGAATGGGGGGAGGGTGGGGGCACATCAGAGAGGAACCTGCCCCAGGCCCTCTGACAGAACCATCTGGGGAGAAAGCCAGGGGCCTTTCCCCGCAGGTACAGACCTCCCTCTGGATTTGTGCACCTGAGCGGTGTGTGTGTGTGAGTGGGTGCATGCGTGC